ATGGAAAAGATTCAGAACAGTGCTGCTAAGAAACGGCAGAAACATATACATTTATCATTAAGCAGATTGCAGCCTCCAGGTTAACCTTGCAAGTGCAGATGGCAGAGTGTGAAGATGTAGGAGAAAGTAGTAGAGTAGATTGAAGAAAATAAGAGCGAGATAAGACGCTTCGGTGCATTAAGTCATATACGTCTTAACTCAACACTGCGGCTGAACCTCGTCAGTGTGACGGTCGCAGTGCGTAATGAGAGGAAAGAAAAAAGGAAAAAGAAAAAAGGAAAAATGAAAGAAGAAAAAAAGGAAGAAAGAGGGAGAAGGCGAAAGAAGATGGCTGATGCTAACTCCATGGATGGCTGATGCTAAGCTGATTATCGCATGATTGTAGCATGAAGTAATATGAAGAACCTAAAAAAGAAGGCAAGAATAGAACGAACTATGTAATGCAAGATTTAGAAATATTGCTGGTACAGGAAAAATAAGTACGAGAGAGTTAAGACTTTTCGGTCCATTAAGTCATATACGTCTTAACACTGCAACTGGACCTAGTCAGTATGACGGTCGCAATGCGTAATGAGAAGAAAGAGGAAGGAAAGGAGGAAAGAAAGAGGAAGTGTAAGAAAATAGAAGCCGAAAGAGAGGACAAATGAACGGGGGAGAGAGGTGGGGGTAGAAAATTAGTCATATTTGCACAAGAGTTCACCCATTTTTCAAATTCAAGGTTTCTACCTGTCTATATTTCAAGGCTCTTATTGACCTACGTTTCATTATTTACGGTTCAACTTAATCCCCCGCGTTATGCATATAAACCAATTTCCTCCTCCACTACACTTTTTAGGCCTTTTATTGGCAGTTAACTAATTATTCCGAGGGTATTTCTGGTAGAGTTTATAAAATTTTTCGAATTGGATCAAAAAATTAATGAATGATAAAATCTTTTTTTGTTGAGAGGTGTGGCATACCTTATTTTTTAGCCCAAGACATCTGGTAGACTGACTTTTTTGCACTGTCAGTTTTTAGATACGTGAAATTGCACAGAACTTGAAAGAGCTTCCATTGAATGATCCGTTCCGATTGAAATCAGCTCGAGAATTGCTCGAGAAATTGTATGCAATGGGGCTGATACCGTCCGCTGATTCTCTGGAGCGTGCCAGCAAAATCACAGCTTCCTCGTTTTGCCGTCGCCGATTGCCGGTCTGTTTTTAGATTTTTTGATGTATTAGGATTATCGGATTTATGTTTTTTTAATGCTGAGGTTCACTTTTTTTGCCAAACGCGGTTTTGCGGGGTTTTTTGCCCCGAATTCCACGTTCTGACCGTTATCGGTTGCTTGCTGCATCTCTTTCGAGTTGATCCAAGCAGTCATTTTTCTTTTCATGCGAATCACTCATAATACAGTACTTGTTTAAAGGTGTAAGTTGTGTTCCTTGAAAGGA